TTTACACTTTTTATTACAAGCAACATCTAGTTTTTTGCAAAAAGAAAATTTGAGTGAAAAAACATTTTTTGTATAGAAAATTTAATGTTCAGAAAGAATTTGTTGACCAAAATTTAATATAATTATTGCGTTGACACTGTCAAGTGTAAACATTTTGATGATACAGCAGCAAATTTAGTGACAAGCTGTTAGGATCAGTTTACAGACATGCAATAACAGTGCCTTTGCAATAATCTGTTCTAGACAATTAGACAAAAAGAAAATTAATTCCTAAGCATAATTTAAAATTTCTAAAACATTTCCTAACGCAAGATGATGTTTGAGATTATTTCTAAGGAGATATTCTTTCTGCCCATCTTGTTCAATAGCTTAAATGGAATCAATCAATAGATCTAGTATAAACAAAATATTGTCTGACTTTAAATTTGTTTTTATAACCTAATATTGATTAATTTTTACCATATCAATCCTTAATGAAACCATTTACAACTGTCTTAAAAGTGACGAAATGTTAATGTGCCCTAAAATCATAAAGAACATTAGAATATCTGCCCTTATTATATCATTTCCCTGATATAATCCAAATTTGTCATAAAAAGTAAACATTTAATTGACCAAGTTATTACTATAAAATCATCATGAAAACATTTCCTCTGAAACATTTTTCAGGCAAACATTTACTCATTTCGCATGAATAATGGAGATTCATGGCCTGAAAATTACCTCTGGATGGATATTTGTCAAAAATACATTGCCACACATAATTTCGCCAAAGATGGCGTTTTGATTCCATGGGCTCCGACGCGGGTTGGCAAGTGGGGGGCAAGGGAAAATTCAACAATCATAACAAAAGATTTTGAAAAAAGCTCTGTTGTTTTGCAAAAGACTGTGGGGGACATGGTCCCCGCCGCACCACCCCCCCCCCTTTCGTCGGAGGCCCTGGATTCTAGAGTTTAATGAAAATCATATCGATATAAAACAATTTCTTATTATTGCGATATGAGCGTTGATAGCAAGTAGTAATTTAATATAAAAATTTAACCTAGGTTACGTGCAAAATCTAACAAAGATTTCCTCTCAAATGAAATTTGTCGTCAAGTGTTTAGCTGAGGTCGAAAAACCTCTGCATACCAAAGTCATTCAAAAGTGTGTAACATTATACACTTATCAAAACCATGTTCTTTCATTGGTAATGTAATAGTGAACGGACATGTCATGTCACGTATGCCCAAAGTACAAACAGAGTAATTTTGACAGTCGGGGTCAAAATGTAGTGTTAATTAAAGAAAACACGATTCTTCAAATCT